GACAAGATTTCCCCATCTCCAAGTCACCTCCTTCCAATTAATCAAGATTCCATAAACCGTCTGTGAGATAAAGCAAGAGGCTAAGGGACTGAGGAGAGCTTTCACATAATCACATGTCTGGAGGGAGAAAAGAGGAGAAGGTTCGATTCAAGTTATCTTCCCACACATCCACCCGGTAAACGTTAACTGAGCACCTAGAATGGCCTGGGCATTGACTAAGCATCGGATGCTAGGACTGCAAAGACTCCCACTCTCAGAGTGCTGCCGAGAGTGCTATTGAGACGGACACATACCATGTGTGTTTCATGGCAAGACCAAAGTTAAGACATGCTTTACCGGAAGTGTGTACGATTCTTCTGTCACGCATAGAACCTGCAGTGACAGAGAAGCTGGAGGAGGTGTGTTCCCCGTGAATGCCAGATACAGCCTTCCAGAGTAGGGGCTTGTGGCGTAAGAAGTAATCTGGGGTCTGTCGGTTGTACAAGGACAGGGAATAGCGTTTTAGGTAGAAGCAAGAGCAAGCGCAAAAGCTTTGAGAAGTGGGACTGCCTGGGGTTTTTAGAAACCTTGAGCAGACCAGTATGGCCAGAGGACAGAATAAAAGATTATACACCACCACCAACAACAACAACATACACACACACACACCAGCATCCTGAGACCTAGGCTGGTGCCTTGGGTCTGCCACCCGTTTCCTGTTTCATTCTCCTTTTGAAGAGCCTTAGTTTCCCCATCTGGACAATGGGAATACTGCTGCTGATTAGTAATTAATAACGCTGCTTGCTTTCCTCACTCCCACCTGACCCAGAAGGTCCCTGCGGTGAGGGCTCCTCTCTGAGGCTAGGCCCACCCAGTTAACTCAATTTGATGGGAAGGTCAGGCCACCTCAGCGAACAGGGCCTCAAATGATGGTCCTCCTTGCTTGAGTTGGAGCTCAGATTCCCAGGGGGAGGCTGAAGGGAGCCAAGCATCCTCTCCAGCTGCTGGACCTGCACCCTCACCCCACCCACACAGACTGCAAGGGCTGCTGGGAACAAATTCAGCTCCTGAAGCCCCACTCTTAGGCTCAGTAAGGCTTACGCTCATCCTCACACAGGCACATGGCTTTGTTCTACACATCCACACCGGTCAGGTGATCTCTTGGCTCATCTGTACCTTGGAAGGCACAGGTAACAAGTCAAAACCTTCAGAAGACTGTCAAGACCTGAGGCCCTTGTAAACAGGAGCCCCCAATTGCTCCTCCCGGGCTACTAAGAGCCCTGTCGATGCAGAATTGCTGTTAAGCCTGTGACACCCTTGCTGCTGTTCTCAAATCTCCCACAGGCGGGCAGGCGGGTCCGAGTGGTAAAGGGGTCCTCGGGGCTGCAGAAGACAGTGCTGGGAACTCGGTTCACAGCTCCAAGAGGGGCCCCCTAGGGTAGGAACTATCCAACAAGGGAGAGGTCTGCCCGATGGAGCATCTCCTGGGCTTAGAGGTGTCCTGGCGAACGCTGGTAGGTGTTCCGTGCCAAAAATGTGCTCCAGTCAATAGGTGTGGGAAATGTGGGCCTGAAGAAAGGTTCTTTGGTTTTGTGCCACGGGACTTCTCAGAGCCTTTCTTTACTGTGCTGGAGGGCACCGTGTCTCCAAAGGAGGGACAAATGCATTTGAGCCCAAAGTCCTCCCCTGACCCCCACAAAGCATCAGTGACCTTAAGGCCACATCGCCAAGCCATGCCTGACCCTGGAGGAAGAGGACAAGAAACTGGCTGCCCTTATCGAACCTGGGCTGGCACAGGTAACAGCCACAACTCCCCTCGAGCAGGTGCAGGGGCTACCCACGAGGGCCCCTGGGCTTCCCTCTGAGGAGCACCAGAGCTAGTGCTCTGCAGGGCGGTTCGGACTTCTCTGGAAGAGGAGTCCCACGGGACGCACACTGCTGTGAATTTTAATTCCAAACAAAACCTGGCAGAGAAGACTCCAGGCCTCCCAGCTGCCTCCCTTTAGAGCTGCCTTCCTTGGGTGCCTGGGGAGATAGATGTGCTGAGCCAAGGCACTCAGGACTCTCTCTCCAAGGACAGTAGTTGTCACTGGGGTTCATAAGGCCAAGGAACTAGACCCAGTTGCCTTAAAAATAATAATAATAATAATAATAAACTGCACAAAGGGCGCCTGTACCTGCTCTGGCCTGGCACCCTCACCACGAGCTGAGAAGCTGAGGAGCAACCCAGGCATCCAAGTCACCTGCTGATGCTCCTGCCCTCGCCCGTGAACTCTGCCATCTCTCCCTCGCTCTGCCTCCAGGGCCAGCACTCCGCTCAGAACCCTTGGCTTATCTTCAGCTTCCAGAGCTGAGGTTCCGGGGGCACAATGGGCTTCTGTGCCCCCGGGTCCCCACCACCCCCCCCCTGCCCAAATCCCAGCTGCATTCATGGTGTTTTGCTATTGTGGTGGGAGCAGCCTGGGGGTGGTGCAGGAGGGGGTGGGCTCTTGGCACAGGGACTGGCGCAGACAGGCCGTGGTCAGCGGTCAGCATGCCAGTCACATTCTCAGGCACTGCCACCGGGCCTGCCAGCCTCGCACAGAATGGCGACGCTCCTGGGCCCCTGGGTCCCTTCGGAGCGTCCCCTCTGGGCCACACACACATGACCCGCTTCCTCTCTGGCCAGCCTGTTGGTAGCACTCAGGTGGGGAGGACTTTCTCTTGCCGTCCCAGCCAGTTGCTATTTTGGAGCCACATGAGGTCACCGGCCAAGGCCTAGATGCAGAAAAGGCCTGTCTGCAGCAGCACAGCTGGGGCTCCACGCGGGGTCAGGGGGCAAGTGGCCGGGAGGGAGAGTGGGTGAGCCCAAAGCCAGGAGGGCCTTCTGCGAGTCAGCAGGCACAGCCTCCAGCCGCTCCAGGGAAGCCACCGGCCTCGGAGCTCGGGGGGGGAGGGGGCTCTGCTGCCTCTCCTAATGCACCCCCTTCCCTGTCCGTACAGCTCTCAGACCCATGCACCCTCCCTGAGAACAGCAGAGACGGCATGTAACAGATGGGTTAACTGAGGCTCCCTGAAAGTCAGGTCCTGAGAGACTCTTTGGGCCCCAGGGAAGGAATGTGCCTCTTTGGAGGTAAACTGAGGTAAGCAGCAGGGAGCCTGGTCTCACTGAGAGCCAGCCAGGATCCTGGGCCGCAGAAATTTCCGAGAGGAGGCACACCAAACTCCTCCCACAGGGGACTCCTGATGGCCCCAAACTCCTTGTTCTCACTGGGCGACAAGGCCACACCATAGGGTAGGGGGCAGTGAAAAGCTAGCAGGGGCTGATTAGGGACCCCCATTTGTCCTCCGGGTCACAGTCATCCTCCTCCCTTCGGGCTTCCACAGGACCCGCAGGAAACGCCGCAACCATTCACTCTGTATCGTCCCGTCCGTCTTCTCACCTGGGCCCCGTGAGCCTGGGAACGAGTCCCCAGGGGCCCGCACGGAGCTCAGCGCATGTTTGGTCAGAGAAGTCCCACGCCCTGAAGAAAGAGCCCACACAGCGTCCCTCCAGATCACTGATCCCCGCAGCCAGTTCCCTGAAGAGGCAGCAAAGCCTCTTACAAGAAAGGAAGATTCCCAGCCAAGAATAATTCCTCGTGTGGAGAGTGCTTTACAATTTACAAAGAGCTTTGGCATACAAATGCTTTCTCCTGGCACCAAGGCTGCCGCTCCACGCTCCTCTCCGTCAGCGGTGCCCAGCCAGCCCGGCTCAGGTCAGCCAGCGCTCTGCTCCGCTCCCGGGCGCGGGCCCACCTCTGGCCCCGAGGCCTGCATGCTATATGCCCGGTCTCCCCTCGCCAGGAATGGCTGAGCTGAACGCAGGACGAGGCCAGAGAGGGTGACCCTCTGTCTCAGCCTTCATCCCCAGTGCACTGGCCTTCTCCCCAAAACGGCCAGGCCTCTGCCTCTCCTAAAACTAACCGGTGTGCTCCCGTCTTGAAGGAAAATTACCCTTATGTGTGTCCTCTCCCTCACTCCTTCCCCTCCAAAACCTTTCCAAGGGGAGCTGCCAGAGGGGAGTGAGGGAAGGCCACAGAAGGGTGTCTGCAGTTCACAAACGAAGCAAGAGCAAGTGGGAGTGGGGGAAGAGGAGGGGCCCAAAACGGAAGAGCGGGGAGTGGGATGCAGAAAGACTCTGAAGACCCTCAAAGGGGCTGGGAGTTCCTGGGAGCCTGTGTGTTTACGTAGCTGGAAAGATGCACTGCCCCTCCGACTCGGTGTAACCGAATCCACCCAGGAGCAGACTTTGCAAGCAGCCGGCCCAGGTTTGTGGGGAAGGCACTGGCAGCTGGAACCTCTCCCGCTACCAGCCCCCCTCCCAAGAGCTCAAGAGGATTTCCCTTTCATTTCCTTCCAGGCTGGGAGGGCGGGGGGCAGCGCAGTCTGTGGGGTCAAGCCCTCAAAAACCACTTCCTATGTGGCTATGGGAGGACGGATCTGGGGGTTCCAGCGTGGGAACAACAGGTAAAGTCCTCGGGAGAATCACTGCTCCCCAGGGTGCCCTTTGGGTCAGAAACCGCCCAGGTCGATGGAGAAAAGATTTTAGAGCCCCCCCCCCCCCCCCCACTCCCTGCAGAGAGCTGGGAGCAGAATTTGCACTGTCCGGCCGGGCGAGCGGTGGCCCAGAAGGGGATGGGGTTGGGTGTGGGAAGGACACTTGGAAGGGGCTCCCCGCCCAGCTGTCTGGAGAGAATTCGGAGCCCCCGGCCCCGTCGCCTCCCTGCTCCCCCACCCCTCTAGAAGAACGCGGGGGGCTGGGAGAGGAGCAGGGAGGGCCCCGCCCGCGCCCGAGCTGCTCCCGGCTGGGCTCTGCCGGGAGGTGACGCGCTCTCGGCGCCCCGGGGACTTCGGGCAGCGAGTTTGGCAGAGCTGAGCTAAGCCAAGCCAAGCCAAGGAGGGCCGGGCCGGGCCCCGCCGGGCCCCGCCAGGAAGAGCCGGGCAGATAGGAAAGGGCCCCGCGCTGCGGACGGAGAGCGGGGGCGCGCGGGGGCACCCACCTCTCCGCGCTGCAGCTGGAAGAAGCTGTTGAGATAGCTGGAGTGCAGGGGCGAGCCCAGCTGCTCCGGGCGGCCCTTGCCGAAGGCCAGCTCCGGGGGCGCGGCGCCGGCGGGCGGCTCGGGCCGAAAAGCATCGAAGGCGCTCGCCTGGTGCGTGTCCTGCAGCGACAGGTAGACCCAGTTGAGCAGCTGGGCCGGCTGGTACACCGAGGCGCTGGTGTCGATGGCCGACAGCAGGCTCATTTTGCGGCGGCGGTGCCGGCCCCTCCCCGGCAGCCCGTTCGCGCCCCCCACCTCCAGCGGAGGGGCGGGCACCGGGGAGCCTGAGCCCGCTGCCCGCCGCCCGAGCCCCGACGGCGATCGCCCCGCGCCCTGCGCGCCGCCCGCAGCCGCCACCGCCGCAGCCGCCACCGCCACCTCCCCGGACTGCGGCCGCGGCGCGCGGGCGGAGGAAGGAGGCAGCGAAAGTTGGGCAGGAAACTTTGGGGCCCGCCCCCTCCGCGCCGCCGCCCCGCCCCGCCCCGCCCCGCGCGGCGATCCGCTATCTGCCTCCGCGCTGACCCCTCCGGCGACCGCTCCCGGGGCGGGGCTCCAGGAGGCCACGCCCCTCGGGCTCCGTCCTCGCCTCCCATTGGCTGTCTCCTTGAATAGGGAAATGAGGCAAAGCCCGTCTAAATGAGCTGCGGGTGCTGGCCCGCCCCTGGGCGCCCGCTCCCGGCCCCCGCCCCCCGCTCCCCGCCGTCCTCCGGAGCCCGCGGGAGCCCAGCACAGCCCCGTCCAGATCCTGTTCCTCTCGTCCTGCCCTCAGCGCTGCTCTGTTTCGCGTTCGTGCCAAATCCTCGCCAATTATGTCATTTTCACTCGTTTTTTCTTTTCTGTTTTCCCACTTTTCTCACACTCTGCCTTCTCCCTCAGACTAGTATCTCCTGTGCCCTGGTCTCTGTCTGTCTCCGTGGCTGTGTGTGTCTCTCTCTGTGTTTCTCCTTCGTCTTACCCATTTCCGTCTAGTCTGATGTGTCTGCCTCTCACTCCCCTCCCAGATCCAGACACACACACACACACTCTCCTCCCTCCTTCCTCTCGCTATCACCGTGGGACCCTCCCCCGCCCCGCTAATTCCTTCCATCTGCAGAATCGCTTTGCAGGGCCGGCTCTGCCAAGGGGGCCCGGGTTCCTGCCCCAGGAAGGACTCCCCGCCCCCTCCCCTTGCCTTCTCCCCACCCTCTCTCTCCTGTTTTTCCTCTGGACCAGCATTGCTTCTCCCTCTACCCTCCACTCCCCACCTCCACCCCCCACTCCCGCTTCAAGGTGCCCTGCGAGTCTCCAAAACACCAGATGGGTCCGAGGGAGCTCCGAAGACTGCCACCACCAACCCAGGATAACCCAACTAGTCCAAGTTTGCCTAAGTGAGCCCCGCCCCCCATCCTACCCTACCCCCACCCCACACCACACCCCTGATCCCACTGATGCACCTGGAAGCCCTGCGGCCCTCTCACTCCGGGGTAACCACCGCTGCACCAGAGCCAGATTCTGACTTAGAAGCTCCTGGAGGGGACCCGAGTCACCTCTCGCACCTGAAACCTAGTGCCACTCTGCCAGCGTCCAAGTGCCAGCTCTGCCACCTTCCAGCTAAGTCACCTAGGCCTGGCACCTAACCTCTAAGAGGGAACCTGTAAAATGGGGTCAGTCACCGTCCTGCCTCGAGATGTTCGGGAGTTTACCAGCTCCCTGGTAATCAGAAGGTAGGCCATAAAGGTCAGCTCCCTGCCACCCCTTCCCGGGATTTCTCCCACGACGTGCATCCACCCATCCCGGTGGGTGCTTGGGCCCGAAAGGCCTTCAGCGATGGCCAATGAAGCTCGTTCCCACCAGGTCACTAACCGAGAACCCCTTTGACTTTTTCCTGTCTTATTTGATCATATTTTTAAGATTTTGTATATTACTAAGTGATTTACAATTACTGATAGAAACCATATCAATCATAAGTAAATTTATTTATCAGAGAAACACCTAAACTGTACTCTTTCTATTTTAAAACAGTATTAAACCTATTGGTTTAAAGAGAAGGCACACATTTGTTAGGAATGTGTGTGATAACCATTTTACTCCTGAAAATATCGGGGGTCATCTCTGGAACTCTGCTGCTATCTTTGAGGTTTGGTGGTAGATAGGATTTGGAACCACTGAACTAGGCTTTCCTTGGGTTTTATAGAGAAAACTGCTGTTCAGAGAGGGGACAGCTTGCGATTATGTGAGACACGCGGCCTGTGTTCCCTGTCCTTCAGAGTGACTTGATGCTGAGAGGTTGCTTGTCATGCCTGGGGACCAGACTGATGCCCTCTGTCCCTTTCACTCCCCCCTCCAGCCCCCAACCTCACGCAAGGCCCGGTGCATACACAGGAAATAATCCAAAACTGTTGGCTAGGTCGGTGGTTAAATAGCCCATTAAAGGATGGTCAGATTATGCCTCCCTTTGAAGACTGAGTGGCTCCTTAGGTTTTGTACTTTTCTCCCTCCCCTTGCCCATGGCCCACCTGCTTAGCTCTGTACTCCGTGTGTGATCAATAAATTTGAGCAACTGACAGGCAGTTCGCCTGGATAGCAGCTGATTGACCTGAGGTCAGCTCCTTTGCTGGCCTCTCAGGATCCCCTGAGACAGCATCTCCTGTGGGATGGGGCCAGGGTGATGGGGAGGGTGGCCCCATGGGCATCAGAGGCCTGGGTACGAGGCCCAGAAGAGTGGGCCATAGCCAAACTCTGCATTTAAGATGTCAGAGGCCCTAGCCCATGCCTTTACTTTGCAGAGGTGGAGGCACTACAGCCAGAGAAGGAAAGGGTCTTGTGCAAGCTCACCCAGGAAGCCTGAGGGCTAAGCCACCTGCTGTATCCCACTCCACTTCCTAACTCCCATCTGGTCGTCTGGTCTGGCCGTCTCCTGTGTGGCAGCAGTGTCCTCAGAACTGCAGGCAGGAGGGAACTCCCAGGTGCGGCTTGAGTCCCTGCCTCTTTCCTGGTGACTCTGCACACCCCATGGGCTCCAGAATAGGACAGTGGAGAGAAGACAGGATTTGGAGAAAAGAAATCTGGCTGAGTAGCCTTAGGCAAGTGCCTGTCCTCTCTGTACACCTCAGTTCTCTCAGTGACTGATGGGGTCAGAGGAGGATGAGAACAGGAAGGCAGTTTGCTAGCTGTGAATAAGCAATCACGTGGCAGTATTAATAATTTCAATAGGAGTGATATTCCATTTATCTAGAGTGGTGGTTGGGAGGAGAAGGGTGCATGTAAGGAAGTGCCTGGCCAGCCCCGAAGTTGCCCAGGCAACAGGTCTGATAGGTGTTTGGTGGCGTTTCAAACCAAGAGCTTTGAGTTCAGAGAAGCACGAAGAACTTTAGAAAGAAGAGCAAGCGGGTCTTCATGAGGGAATCAGCTATTTTTTTTAATATATTTTATTGATTTCTTACAGAGAGGAAGAAGAGAAGATAGTTAGAAACATCCATCAGCTACCTCTTGCACCACCACCACCACCACCACCCCCCGCCCCCCACTGGGGATACTCCCGCAACCCAGGCACATGCCCTTGACCAGAATTGAACCTGGGACCCCTCAGTCCACAGGCCGATGCTCTATCCACTGAGCCAAACTGGTTTCGGCTCAGCTTTCTGTTTGGGCTTGAAAGGCAGGCAGAGATGAGCAGAAGAGGGGGCTTCCCATCCCTATGCAAATGGATGCTGCTTATTTCTCTGAAACATGCCTCACAGTGGCTCATAACACAGAGCACTCCCGGGCCCTCTTGCACTTGCCCGCACTCCATGCCTCAGGAGTAAACGGCGGCGAAGAGCACACTGGGAGGCGGAGGTTCCCTCTCCTCTGGCCAGGCCTGGGCACTGGGCTCCTCGGGGCTGCGTGTTGACACAGAGGGTGTCAGTTTACAGCAGTGATAGCAAAATGGCAAATCCTCTCCCTGCAAGAGCCATGGCCCATCTCCGACCCAGGACACAAATCACCGAGTGCAGACTCCTTCCCAGGCGACTTCAGATCCCTCCCAACACAGCCATGTGCGTTGCTGCTAAGGGTGGAATGATCCACTGGGTGAAAACAAACCTTCAATCCTTGACTTATATCTGCCCTCCCAGGACCCTTTCGAACCTGTACGGTGACTTTGTGCAGATTAGAAAAGAGGTTGTTCTAATCTGCAGTGGGCTCAAAGCTTGTGTACTACGTAGTAGAAGGCACGTTGGCGGCCCCATTGCTGCGCAGGTATATGATTTCAGCACCACTAACGCAGATAGGGTAGTGCTAGGATGGAAACCTTAGGGACAACCTGATCCCTCGAGCCCACCCCAGACTCTTGACCCTGAAAGCGCCACCTTTTGTGAGACCCAGGAATCTTAAACTCCACAGAGGTGCTGAGCTGTGGAAAGTGCCCTCCCTGGCTGTGTGACATTGGCACGTGGAGTATCCTCTGCTGGACATTTTCCTCGTGTGTAAAATTCTCCCACGGTGGCTCGACTCCCAGGACACAGGAAGGCATAGACGCTCAGAAGGCCCTGGCGTCTGGGAGGCCCTTGGGGAGTGCTTGCTTGTGAAGGCTGGACACTGTGAGGACACCATGAGGGCTGTCAGCCCAGGAATCAGAAGCTCAGAGTCCTTTGCCCAACTCCTTATGCAAGGCCTAGGGCCGTGGTGGGCAAACTGCGGCTCTCGAGCCACATGCAGCTCTTTGGGCCCTTAAGTGTGGCTCTTCCACAAAATACCATGGCCTGAGCGAGTCTATTTTGAAGAAATGGCATTAGAAGAAGTTTAAATTTAAAAAATTTGGCTCTCAAAAAGAAATGTCAATCATTGTACTGTTGATATTTGGCTCTGTTGACTAATGAGTTTGCTGACCCTAGGGCAAGCTGGCAGATCCCCTGGACCTCTGATTCCTAGAAGTCACAGAAATAGGCCTAACAGCATGCCCTCCCACCCCACTCCCCACCCCCATGCTCCCCAAGGAACAGCCCTCAGAAAAATGATGCGGCGGACATGGGTCCTTTCTCACGTAGGAGCTGTGGGCAGAAATGACTTTCTTCTTCGCCTTCCAATTTCATATCCACTTTTCTTAAAAAATAAAACCAAAAAAAGCAACAACAAACCATATAGATTTTATCAACAGCTTCAACCTGTGGAGAGACCCCAGGCCTTGGGGCTGGAGAGATGCCTAATCACTCCGGACCAGTGGTCAAGCGTGAACATGTCTTCTGTGGGGGACAAGGGAGAGTGGCTTTGGAATATGAATGTTTTTAGGCTTATTGGGCATCTGTTTGGAAAATGGGGTTAAGACACTCACCCTAAAGTTGAGTGTGCAGAGCTCCCTATGCTGGGAAAAGTCTGACCCAAA